ACTGAGAACTGACTGATGAAATTGTAGGTTCCAACTAAGTGAACTAAAAGTGTTTCTTTTTGTTGGGAAAGGAGTATGGTATTTAAAAATCTGGTTGTATAGTACTTTGAGCTGATTGTCTAGAACTGTGCTGTCTAGTGATGTAGCCACAGCCACAGGAAGCTCTGTAAGTTTTAATTAAAATTAAACAAAATTAAGAACTCAGTGCCTCAGTCCGACTAGAGCATCTCAAGTGCCGAATGGCCACCGGTGGTCATGGGCAGCATCGACACAGGCCACGCCCCTCACTGCTGAGTTCTCCCGGTGATCACTTTTCTTTGGAACAACAGCATTCTTAAATATAAAGGTCTTTCAAATCTTGTCTGTTTCCGGTACATACTTTGCCCTTCAAGATTATGCAAAAGGGAAGGAGATCTCAGGAGTCTGGATGGGAGAATTTGAGGTGAAAAGGGAGCCAAACTGCTCAGGATAACAAGGGACTAGAATTTTCCATTTTTCTCCTTTGGCTTGAAAGGGAGGTGTGTTTTTTTTTAAATATTTGAGAAGAGGCATATGGAAAAGAGGAATAGGGTAAATTGGAAAAGGACTGTGAGGGAGAGATTAAAACATCTTGGTGGGAGAGTGGGACAAAGCTGACACATAATGAGACACCCTTTAGTAGGGCTGACTGATGAAATTCATTCAGCGGGATCTCAGGTATTTAATCTCAGGTATTTAATCTGAACGTGTCCTGGTGTATGCTGCAGTTCTCTGCTACCACCCAGTGTCCTTGTTCCTGGGGCTTGACGGTCTAATGGGTTTAGGAAGAGAGGTAAGAAGGCGCTGTGGATAAGGCTAACCCCTGTAAGCACCCAGGCCTTCTGGGGAAGACGGCGAGGGTCCTGACAGCCAGGGGCTGGGGTCTTCAGTCCTTTAACATGGATGTGAAAGGAAAGTCAGGAGACCAGATGAGTTAGAGGCATTTGGGTTGCATGTGTTCTAAAAAGCACTGCTGTTTCTGTCTTCGGCAGTAAAAAAAAAAAAATCTCTGTTTAAAAGATTTTATAACAAGCATCGCTTAGAAGCAAAATGTCTTTTGCACCTAAGTAACTTCTAAGTCAAGTTATATTAAAAAAACAGATTTAGAAGTGGCATGGGAGTACAAACAGAGGCTATAACGCAGGCTAGATTTTGCACTTTCTGAAATTTTGGGCTACTTCCCCCAAATCCTTCAGTAATGCAGAAATAATAAAATAAAGCTTGAACACAGTTGCACTCATTACATTTCTTGACAAGATAATATATAATTTTTAAACCGTGGCTAGTATTTTTTTTTTTCTGACTTAGCCAGAGCTCATCCACTTCCCTGCTTTCTTTAAACGAACCAGTGGAACCTAATTTAATGTTTACTTGATCCTTCAGGCCATCCTGAGAGTTGCCACATGGTGCTAAAGGCACTTATGTCACTTCACATGGGGTCCCTTTGCTATGACACTTTGGGAACACATTCGGGTTGTATTTTCTCTAATTCTTGTTCCTCCTATTTGCTGTCAGCTATCATTTCACACTGCTGTTCATGTACAAATGGAAAAAACAAACCTCTGCTTATATGCGGTTGCCATGAATATTTTAATGGCTGTGGCTCCAAAAAACTGGATCTTCTAGGACTGGGAAATAATTTAAAATATTGGCTATAGTCCACTTGAAATACTATTTGGCTTTCTGGTTTGATATGTTGTTTAAAGAGACATACTTTATGAAATTCTTTTTTTTTTTTTTTTTTTTT